GCTGCAGTAATATCCAGATCGACCCCCCGCACAGTTCGATTTCGGCAGTGAATGCGTGAAGGAAGCCTCGTGACTCGAATTCGACGTGTCTTTGCAACTGGCGATAGTTCGGATTCATACCTAAAAACCAAATAGCAAACTTTCCGCATTCGTTGCCTCATGTTAACTTAACAACTTGTCCAATATTCAGGTATAATAAAACCTCTCCACTCGAAATTTCGACGACTGAGAAAAACTTCATTACTTCAAAATCGAACGATATGGGCTACCATTAAATGTACATTAAATGAAATGATGATAGATTTATTTTCAAAGATTAATATAACTTTCATTTCTCGAATAGAATAAGCAAAAACAATTTTATCGTTATTATCGCCATTCGCTATGAACTTAATAAAATATTGCAGAATATTCATTCAAATCACTGTCAATATGATTCAAAAAATAACTAATAAAATATTCACAAGATATAACGAAGCTCTCAATGACAGATAATAGATAAATACGGCAACAGCAGTAGCCTGGAAAAACATATTTACTGGTATGAAACATTAGAATCCACAGCGGTGCAACCTCTTCAGTACAAATTAAAAATGTACAGAGGAGATATCGCATTTACAGGTAACAAATATCAGCCGGCAACTAATAAAAGCATTAAAACAAAGCACGGAAAAGGAGAGAAAAATAAATGACAAGATATGAAAGAAAAGAATGAAAAAAGGCAAAGCTAAACGAAAAAAAGATATGAAGAAAATAAATTAAGAATGAGATTTCAATAAAAAGAAGTTTAATTCGACGTCTACATGAGCTGCACTGAACGTTTTAATAGGGCGGATTGGCGCATCTTGAGACCGGCAGTCGTGGTCTAAGATTTTCAAGTCACTGCAATCAGTACAGCGCAGGTTCTCACTAGCATGATATCAGAATGTTCGTTTTATCTTTTCTTGAAAGCTGCCATATATACTTTTAGATGGATTTGAACACGCTGTTTCGTCGTACCAATGTAAAACATTCGACAACCTTTACAATCCAAGTGGTAAAGGTTCAGTTTTAAAGCTGTTCGTCTGTTGTAAAATGTGAGAAATCACCTTGGATAATGTCCTTTTTATGATAATACCAAATCTGATACTACTTACATAACGACGGAGGGTTGGAAGTAAACGAAAGTTGAAAGGTACAGATAAAGCGTAAATATGCCTGAATAGAAACTTTCTGATTCTGGGCCCGTTGTCCAAATTGCAGATTTTTTTTTGCCGATTCACAGTTAAAGGCAAAAAACAATACAGGTGCTAACAGTTTTGATAGTGGTGTCGACGTATTACGCTAAAAACGGAGTAGGATCATCATGGCACCTGATAAAGCATCGTCGTTAGGTCGAGATGAGAGGTGAAGATTTTAGCCTGAATGTTTCAGAAAAACGTGATCGTAGTAATTATTTTTGAATATGCACGGCAGATTTTGGATTTCAGCTTAACATACCAATGGGCGAATGCAATAAGACGTCGCTCTGTTGCAAAATTTCGTGAAAATAGCAGTAAAGTAATATCAGAGACTACAAATACTTGATTCATGAAGCGACTGCAGCTCTATTCATAGAAAATTAGAATTATGCATAAAATATCCAGTACTTTAACGTTTCAAAATCTCAGCGCGACTTATCGCTGATATCTCCAAACCAAGAGTCAGCCTGCATGTTTTTCACGAACTCACTCGCTACCTCGGAAGACCGGTAATGCTGTCAAAGAGCAACCGAGCCCAGGTAATTTAAAAGATGGTAGAAACTACAGAAAGAGCCACAAACGAAATGCATAATTTACGGGCATTTTTCACAAATCGGTCACTGAATTTCGATGACCATTCATCTTCTCTTATCGTAGAGGCGGACTCGTCAGACGGTGGTTCCAACGTTTTCGACTCCAAGAAAGTATTTGAGCTTCAGCACAAGATACTCAGAGTTTGAAAAAGAGTCCTGTAAGACACTTGCTCTGGATTACTCTTGGAGTGATGGGTCTTTATCCGTTCGGTTAGGAAAAGAGTAGCTGCGTCGCTTCCTTTTGTATCATTGCAGTTGTAACTTCTCAAATTGTTCACATGCTCTTAAATTAAAAATCATTCGAATGACTCTGAACTCCGTCGTTGCCGGTTCCAACCTCGGCTGAGAAAGAACGAGGGTTGAAGACCGCGGAGTAGTCTGCGTAAAATTTCGCCACATGCTACTCATGGTATTGACGTCATCAAAAATCATACTGGCTCAGTCGTCACACGGGTTACCAAGAGCCGCGCAGGCTACTGGGGGACTGAGGCCGGCTGCGAAAAGTCGGCGATCAGAACGTGCTCATCGCCCTCTGCCAGTCGGGGGCGTAGCAGAACAAAAATGGCTGACGAAGATCGATGGAACGACGACGAAGCTACCAGTCTGTTCTGAACGGAGGAAGCAGATAGGGTGATGCCACTATAGCACCTCACAAAAGGATCCACTAGAACGACACCGCCAGTGAGAACTTCCAGTCGGAAATTGGAACATATCAAGAACAAGAGTTAGTTGATGAGGCCATAAAGAACCACCTCGACACTGTTGGACTCTCGTCAACGAAGCGCAAAGGCTCTGGAATCTTGAACCTCGGCGGGTGGAGGCTATTCTACTCAGGTGTCCATATCAGACGCACGCTCAGGATAGTGTTGATGTTCTCGCAGAACCCAACCTCGCAGACAGAATAACTGATTGGAAGCCTGTCTGCGAAAGGGCGGTAATCCTCCAATTCAAAATACAACAGGCTAAATCGATGTCCTTGGTACAGGTCTCTGCGCCCAATTTGGAAGGATAATATGAGACCTCCCTTGAGGAAGTGCAGTATGCTCTGTCCGAAGTGCCGAATACAGAGTCCCTCATACTCATGAACGATTTTAATGCGCATGTCAGAGTTGACGCTGAAAAGTGGAACGGTGTGATTGAAAAAACCGCCCTAGCGACCTCAACGATAACGGCATGAAGTTGTTGCGGTTTTGTGCAAACAACGGTATCTATTATGAACAGCTTTTTCGAGCATCGAAAAGTGCATCAGTACACCTGGTACCTGGAAGCTTGTGCACAGAAGTCGATGATCGATTTGATAATCGTATCGTCTGAGTATAATGGGTAGATGGCGAGCTGCTACGGGACACCCAATTACGGTATTCTGATAGCAGATGCTGCGTCAAAGTAAATGACGTTAAGTCAAAGCTTTTCAGCGTTAGCACTGGTCTACGTCCTAAGGCTGTGTCCTGTCCTCTCTCCTGTTCGTGTTGTACGTGGATAGAATAGTCGGGAGCAGCGAAGGCGATGACGGTATTGGTATAGGAGATGTTAAGTCGAGAAGGTTGCTGTTTGCAGACGACCTTGTTTTATTAGCATCTTCTGAAACTGACCTCCAGTGCTCCTGAGAAAGGTTCGCAGCCGAGTTGAGATGTTACCGGCATGCGTATAAATGCATCTAAAACGAAAAGCCTTAGGTTTCTCGATCTCCTATTTGTTGCTATCTTCCGATTAACGGAAAGGCAGTGGAGCAGGTGGAGAAGTTCAAGTACCTGGGAACTGTATTTACTAGTGATGGACAATTGAGGAAGAGATCGACAGGCGAATTGGAGCAACCAGTGGCGCTCTGTGTGAACTAGCCCAATCCATTGAGACTACAGCAGAGCTGAGTCTGAAAACGAAGCCCTCGGTATTGAAGTCGATATTTGTCCTTATTCTTGCATACGGACATGAGTCATGGACCATGACTGAACAGCTTTGAACCCAGGTACAAATAGCTGAATTTGACTTTGTGAGACGAGTCGCTGGCCTTACGCGTCTCCGTCTTATCCAGAATACAGACATCCGCGAGAGCCTTGGTGTACAGCCGCTGCTTCTTCAGACTGAGAAGTCACAGCTGCGATGGTCTGGGACGCGCTGTGAATGCCTCCAGAAAGGAAGCCTAAGCAACTGTTTCTTGCCCAACCGACAGGCAGGAGGCCCAGAGGACGGCCAAGATTAACCTGGTGCAAACATTTGGAAGGTATCTTTTCCAGACTCCAGTTGTCTTCTGCCGAAGCTCAGGCTCTGGCACAGGATCGGAAACGTTGAACGAACTCTCTGACGCGTCTGCCTCAGCGACTCAAAAAGAGAAGCTGTCGTAGAGGATGAAGTTGAAGAAGATGAATTACGTTGACATTTCAGTTAATAGTT